GACCGCCATACATAATGTAGCTCTGCTAACCATTGGGATTAGCAAATCAGCAACCCATCTCACAAACCAAAGCTTGTGTCATTCTCAGAACTTCAGAAGCATGACCAGGGACCATACTGGTTGGGAGATTCTGGAAGTCAGTTTAAAAAAAAAGTAACTTTCCAAGCTCTGCTCAAAATTACAGTTTACAACTACAGTAAACACTTACAATCAAGCATTTCATCAGACATTAGCACTATTAACCACAACTAAACCTAACCAAGGTTTCCTGTAAACCAAGAATCTGGCACCGTGGTTGAAAGCAAATTTACAGTTCTAGTTTGAGGAAAACTCTAGTCAGCCTTAAACAAAGAGGGTCAGAGAAAAACTGTTTTTTCTATTATGATGAGCATTTAAGTTCCTGTGGTTGTCAGTTTTACTAAGGAAGAGCTTGATAAGATATACACCAATCAACAGGGTTGTTGCACATTGTCATATTTATGGTATCTATTATCTTGTGATTGCAATACAGCTGGCAAATCTGTTGGATGTGAGAAACCATGTTCTCTAATTTCTTCCCTAATGGTACCTACCTTGACAGAGCCTCGTGGCGCAGTGGTTAAACCGCTGTACTGCAGCCAAAACTGTGCTCACGACCTGGGGTTCAAATCCCAGGTAGCCGGCTCAAGGTTGACTCAGCCTTCTATCCTTCCGAGGTCGATAAAATAAGTACCCAGATCGCTGGGGGAGGCAATGTGTAGCCTGCATAATTAACTTGTAAACCGCCCAGGGAGTGCTTGAAGCACTATGGGGTGGTATATAAGCAGCACACTTTGCTTTTATTTTTAAACTAGAGTTTTGGATGTAGAAACTTTAAAACATGACTTGCATATCATACATACAAAATCTATGTTGGATTATGTAATTCTGAAGTCATTCACTTTAATCACCAAGACCCAGTAACTTAAATGCTTTTAAATGTGCTTAACACACAACTTTTTTCTCACTCAAATGAAGACAGATTGAAGATCACTTAGTCAAGGCTATAATGTCAAAATATTGATTCTGAGCAGTTTTAAAAGACAGATGCAGCTTCTTACTGTACTGCAATTAACAGAACACTTCGTTACCATTCTGTTTAAAATGTTGCATTCTGTACTATATTTAGGCAATACATGTAGGCTATAAAAACACTAAGAGATAAAATAATATTTACACATATTTATGTCCTTCCCAGTTTCTATGTATACTATTAGTGTACTCTCTTTATCTCCTCCTACCTTCTGGGACTGTTGCTTTCACTGTGTTTGTATCATCATCTGTCAGCATTATTTTAAGCTTCTAAATTCATTCACACATTTACAGTTTGGCCTGAGGCCACATTTGCATGACAGATGTCTGGTGGATGCCGCAGCATATAACTAGTCTTATAGGAAGTACATCATCTTTATATAATTAGGTATCAGACAGGCTGAGCTTGGGCCAACGCATTGGAAAAGGAAGCTGCCTCCAGTAGTTGTAGGGAATTCTGTCTGGCAATGGAACTCTTAGATTGGAAATTCTGGGATTCAGAGTCCAAACAAAAGCAAATGCACATGCCTTATATGGATTACTATACCACAAAGAAATTCCCCAATCTGTGTGGTGAACCACTGTACAAAAGCTGCTTCTTTGATGGACAGGTCCATTTAAACCAATTGAACATTTTCTTACTTCTTTATTAATTACTAATTAGCTCAATATGTGATCTTCCCTCCCATGAACTCAAAAAGGTGTGCATGCCTCTCTTCCCTCCTCACAATCACATTCTCACAACACTGTGAGATAGGTCAAGCTTCAAAAGATGTGAATGGCCCAAGCTCACCCAATGTATTTTCATGACTCAATGATGCTCACAATGATTCTGTCAAGTAGAATGCTATAAATTTTCTACACTCTGACCCAAATATTGGTGAACGATGACTCCTAAAATTCTTGACCACGGGGCCATGCCAACTAGGGCTTCTGGGTGTTGTATTCAAGGATGGAAACCACTGATCTTATTACTTTTTAAAAATCCTTGCTTTTTTCTGCCCCAATAGAAATTTCAGTGTTGAAGTGGTCTTCCAACATGGACAACAGTACCCTTTACAGAGATACAAACAAAATTAATTTGCCTTCATTATTCAGCCTATGTTGTTAATACTACATAATGGCTGAAATCTTGCTCTTTAATGCAGTAAACTGCACTAGAGTCAGCCCACTGAATCCATGGGGAATTGGTGAGTGAGCTCCTCTATCAATTCTACTGGTTCAAATGGGCCTATTTTGATACAACTTGCCCACATTAAGCAGTATGATTTTGGCTACTGACTGAAATCCAGTATGTCACAACTAGAGAAGGCTGATTTGAATCAACAGAATTTGTAGAGGAGTTGATTCACCAAATTCCTGCTCATTCAATGTGCCTACCCTAGTTGTGACTTACAACTGGATTTCAGCCAGTATCTGAATGACACTTGACTATAAATTCTAGGTATTACATTAACAAAGATACATTTTTTTGCAATAGTTAGATGTACAGTATGTAGATAACATTAGATATCTTAAGAATACCTGGTTTACAATATTGTTCTTACATTTCTCTGCAGATTCTCTGCCACACTCAACTGAGTCGCCACACAGCTGTGCTAAGTCAACTATTACTTATAAACGTTCATTCATGGATGATTCATTCCCTCTGAACTGGAACTAGGACAAGGCTCAGTGAGGAACAGAAAAGAATGCTTGGAGATGGTGGGGTGTATATCATAGCTTTCAACTCTGGAGACTGAAAACTGGTGCTTTCCTTGCTTCTATTTTTTATTTTCTGTCTGACAGGTCAAAAAATATGTGTTTAGTCTGAACCAAAGAGAAGACTACTCAAAAGCTCAGAGTAAAAAGAATTTTGCTTCCATTTCTCTTTTCTGGACAACGAAGTGCTTTCTACCAAATAAAGTTGTCGAGAGGATGCCTCGAAGCTCACAAGGAGTGATCTTTTACTCGTATATAAAATTTCGGCAAGATGACAGACAGCTATGCCTACAAAGATATGAAGCTGGGGGCTGAAAATCTGTTGATGAGTTTTGAGATCCATGCACCCATCAACACAGCCTGTTTGTCAACAGAAACTGGTATAATGCTAAACATCACATCACTGACACAAACACTTTGATGGCATGAAAAGGGAAAAGCCGCCCCGTTCTAACTTCCATACTGCAAATGCAAGCTTAGTACTGCAGCAGTTTGTCATGCCTTCTCTCTTACCCTTACAAAACAGAGAATCTGTGGTCCTCCAGATGTTGATGCACTCTGATTCTCCCTAGCTCCAAACACAATAGCCAACAGTGAAGGATCATGGATGCAAGAGTTCATCAGCATCCAGAGCAATGCAGGTTCTCCATTCTTGCCTCAGAGCAATGGTTCCTAAAACACAGTCCCCAAATGTTGTTAGATCATAGCTCCTGAGAAGCTCCAGCCAACAGTGTCAGTACTCAGGGGATCTTCAAGGTATAGCCTAACAACATTTGGAGGTGAGAGATTGGGAAGCACAGCACTGGAAACGCACAAAAATGTGCCACAACATGTTTTGTCTTATTTATGTTGTTGTTTTGGTCTCTGTTTGCCTGATATACTATTGATTGGACAACATGTGATTATTATTAAGAAGCTATACACCAGCTCAATGTGAGGGGTACCGGTAGACAAGGAGAGATCAAGAAATCAGACCAAGGAAAAGTACCAGCCACTGACCGCTCTGTCTCTAAATGAACCCATTGCTCTTTCTTACGGGACCATTCCCACAGGCTCCCTTCAATTCTCCAGCGTTGGAGTGTGATTAATCTTGTGTCTTCTAGAATTATAGCTAGCACTCCTACTTTACACTACTAAATTTCCCCTTAATGTGTCCCTGAAATGCTCACCATCCCTTGGTAAGGAAGGTGAGCTTCTGAAAAAGGCAGGACTCTTAACCGAATAAGTGGTGTTTATTACTTGTTTATGTTATATTGGAAGCTGCCTAGAGTGGTCATATAAACCAGATGGGCAGGATATAAATCAAATAAATAAATAAATAAAATTAAAAACTGTTCTAGTGTGGACTGATGAACTATTATGCTCTGGAGTCTTAACCTAGTGTACAAAGGGAAAAGAAAGGCTTGGTCTTGCATGCGCCAGCACCCCTGCTTTTCATCTTCCAAGCCTGCACACACAACACACACACCAAGCCTCCCACAGACGTGCAGCACCCAAGACTCAGGCTGACATCCTAAAGCCTCTTAGGATGTACAGTAGGGGTTTATGTACAGCATAGTGGGGTTTATTTCCAGGCACCTTAACATATGATCCCTTGGAAAATACGATAGGCTTTTTCCCCCCCTCAAAAGGCCTTTTCTAGAAGAAGGGCAAAGTTTCGCTCAGGTTTGTCGTGTTTTGCCTCCCATTTTCTCGCTCCCTCCGGAGCAAGAAAGCGTGGGGTCCCTTCCTGAGCCTTCAGGCACACCGCCCGGAGAAGCCCGGAGACAGGCGAAGGGAGAGAGAGAGAGAACTGGCTGGCGAGGAATCCGGGGCGCCGCCGGAGGTTTCACAGGCGGGCGGCTCTCCCTTCCCCCGCGCTCGTTTCACCCACTGCTGCTCCCCGTCGGGAAATACAAAACCGGGCATTACTGTCACCGCCTAGCACTCCGGGGCGGGAGAAAAAACAAATAAATGGCAAACGCGGGAGGCTGTGCTCCCTCGTCTCCGCCATTTGAGAGCCAGACTCTCCGCGGGCAGGAGGCGAAGTCCCGACCCTCGAGGAGGCTGGAAAGCGGAGCGAGAACCGCCAGCCCGGCGCTCGTGCCTCGCCCTGCCCGGGCGCCGACGAGGAGGCGGAGGCGGAGGAGACGGAGGGCGGGCGCCACAAAGTTTCTTCCCGAAGGCCCGAGGCCAGAAAGGGAAGCGAAGCCGAGGGGTCCCCCGGCGGGGTGGGGGTGAGGAGACACGACGGCCAGCCGGCCACTCACCTGCGAGCGGTCGCTCCGAGCCTGGACGAGACCGACGCCGCCCTCGGCCCGCCACCCGCTGGCCAAAGCGCGGAAGAGGAGCCTCAGGGGCTGCGAGGGCGACCCCAGCGACGGCCGGCTCCCCCCGCAGCCCCTCAGCCAGCACCTCGCCCGGGGGAGCATCTTCTCCCTCCTCCTCCTCCTCCTGCTGCTGCGGCCGTCGGGAAGGAGCGGGGAGGCGTCGAGGCGCGCGACCTCCGTCCTTCCTCGTCGGCAACAAGCTGCTCCTTCCTTCCTTCCTTCTTTGCTCGCTCGCTCGCTGGCCCGCGCAGAGGGCGAGGCTGCCGCTGCACCGCCCCGGGAATCCGTGGCAAGCTCGCCGACCGCAAGGGGGTGCGTGGGGGGGGGGAGTTTAAAGGGGAAGGCGTTTCTTTTCCTCCTCCCCCCCCCGGGGGCTCTCCTCCTCGTCGTCGTGTCCTTGGCCGACAAAAACAAAACTGAAGGGACTCGCTTTCTGCTTCCTGCGGGCTAACCGCACGTGCGCTGCAAAGAAAGTCGCAGCCCCTGGAACTGGGTGGCGAAGCGCTTGCGGAAGGGGCCTCTCAAGAGCCCGACCGGCCCCTGCCCCGCGGAGATTGCAATGGAAACTTAGGTGGCCCATGTGTTAGCTGGAGAAACATCCAGGCGAAGAGAGGGAGAGGGCGCGACTCGGCGGAATATTCAGTTGCTTATGTTGTGCATCAGCAGCTGCAGGGAAAGGGGGAGAAAGGGAGTGGGGTTTACTGTGGGGGGGGAGAGAAAGGGGAATAGCGGTTCTGAATTGCACAAGCCCCGGCGACAGGTTTGGAGGAACACTCAGAAACTCTTAGAAATGTTGAGGTCTTTTCCAAGTGTCCCGCGCCCATGTAAACAGAGCAATCCACTACTTCTTGCGGCTTTTATTTTCCGGAGTCTGCTTAGGAGTGTTCGCTCCCTGAAGCCATGAAGGCTAAAAACAAAGCTCCCTTCCCTTTCACGTAGAGAAGCTGACTAGATGGAAAAGTTTAATCTTGCTTTAAACCTGCTCTAAGGAAAATGACAGCGCCAGCCCATCCATTAGGATGGGTGATACACGGCCCCTCCTCAAACCCAGGCTCCTCCGAGGCTCCTCACCCGTCAGAAGGCCTCCGTGTGTACACGTGATTGCCTGGCTCCCTACCCGTCTCTGGGTTTACCCAAGGGTGCCTCTGTGCATATGTGTATGGATAGCCCCACCCATCACAATGGGCACCAACCGGCACTGAACAGTGTCCTTCCATCGCTCCTGACAACAGCAGATCCACTCCGCTGGCAAAGGAGGGTGTGCATAGCACTCACAATTTGTCCGGTACCTCATTGATACTCCTTTCACACACAAACTTTCCTCACGAGATGCTTAACTGTAGGGCAGGGTTTTATATATACACAGTACTGTAATTTGTATACTTCACTATGTTGCTGCTTGCATATAGGTTACATATGCAATAGTTACTATAGGCGGTCAACACAATTAGCCCTACCATCAGAATGAGGTAATTACCTCAGACAGCATATATGGTGTCCAGCATGAAAGGAGAGCAAATTGTTAGCCATCTAAATTATTATTATTATTGGATATTTGATGTAATTGAGAGGCAGATATACTTGTGGGATTTTCTCCGTCAGAGAAAATGTCTTTATAACATGACTGATCTTCGCTACTATACACCTTGAGTTAAGTGAGGGAGGAGAAGAGTGCCATAGACTGCTGGGTCTGGGGTTAACTAGTATAACCTAGTCTGAGACATGATGCTTACAGATGTGCAGCTATAATGGTTTAGTTGACCTTGTGATTTAATTCACTGCCACGAGAATTAACCTTGCAACCTTGGCCTCAGGACTGAAGCCTGAGCTTACCAATCCACTTCCTTGAGCTATATTTTAAATTCATTCAGAGTAAGTGCTACACCAACTGAATAATATCAACCAGACTCTGTGGAAAAAGTATCAGCATCACCATCAGTCAAGTCTGTGCTCCAACTATTAATGCTGAAGAAGATTAAAGTGAAAGCTTTTAGGCAAGCATCCTGGAAGTGACTGATCACATACCAAAACAAGACATGCTTATAATCATAGATTACTGGAATGCAAAAATAGGAAACAACAGAACCAAATGTTGGACACAAACAAAGCAGAACAACCTAGAGAGTTCTGCAAAGCAAACTCTCTGTTTATTACATGCTTCAACCAACCGATGGCGGTTCACATGGACATCACTGGATGGTTCAGTACAGAAATCGAATGAGGTGGTTGGAAGGAGGCAATGGAGAACCTGCATTCTCTCTGCCAAAACAAGACCTGGAATAGATTGTAATACCGTATTTTTCCGTGTATATGATGCCCCCCACTTTTCTAACACAAAATTAAGAAATCTAAGTGGGGCTTAGCAAATGTAGGGGGAAAGGGATCAAAACGCTGCAGGATCGCTTTGATCCCTGCTTTCTCCCTTCATGCTAAGCCCCATGGGGCTTAGCAAAAGGAGAGGGAAAGGGATCAAAGCAATCCTGCAACTCCATGATCATTCTGATCCCTTTCCCCCTTCTACAGCCACAGGATTGCTTTGATTTCCCCCCCTCCTTTTGTTAAGCCCCATGGGACTTAGCAAGCAGAGAGAAAAGCAGGGATCAAAGCGATCCTGCAGCACTTTGATCTCTGCTTTCCTTTTGCTAAAGATTAGCAAGTGGAGGGGAAAGCAGAGATCAAAGACCTGCAGGAACAATTTGATCCTTGCTTTCCCCTCCACTTGTTTTTGTACTCTCCTCATCTTATTTCCGTGTATAAGACAACCCTCAATTTTTAGTCTAAAATTTTTAGACAAAAGTATAGTCTTATACACAGAAAATTATGGTACTGATCATGAACTGTTAATATCCAACATTGGAGTAAAGCTGAAAAATAACACTAAAATAACCATACTGCCAAAATCTACTGTAAACAACAACCCTGCTGAATTTAAACTCCGCATAAGGAACAGACTTATACAGTGGTGCCTCACTTAACGGGCGCTCCCTTTAGTGATGAAACCGCATAGCGACAAACTTTTTGCGATCACAAAAGCTATCATATTGCGATGTTTCCTATGCGGTTTTTTCGCTTTGCGATGATCGGTTCCCTGTTTCGCTTACCGATCATCGCAAAGTGATGATTTTCTAACAGCTGATCGGCAGTTCCAAAATGGCCGCCGGGTAAAAAAATGGCCGCCCGCTGTGTTTAGGGATGGATTCCTCGCTTACCGGGCAGTGAAAATGGCCACCGTATGGAGGATCTTCGCTTTAAGGTGAGTTTTAAACCCATAGGAACGCATTAAACTGGTTTTAATGCATTTCTATGGGCTTTTTATAATTGCATAGCGACGAAATCGCTTTGCAGTGATTTTTGCTGCATGGATTAACATCGCTTTGCGAGGCACCACTGTATTACATTAACTGGCCATGAACTGACTGATACTCAAAAGGAAGAATGAAGAAATTAGAAAAGATAATAAAGTGTAAGGATGTGTCACTGGAGAGCAAGACCAAGGCCATCCATACACTTGCATTCTGCATCATCATGCACAGGTAAGAAAGCTCACACGAAAAAAATGATTTATTTGAAATATGGTGCTGGAGGAGAGCTTTGTGAGAAAGTGAGATTCTCTGGAAAAGACAGCAATGCTGGGAAAAGTCGAAGACAACAAGAAAAGAGGAAAACCAAATATGAGATGGATTGGCTCCCTAAAGGAAGCCACAGGCTTCAGTTTGCAAGAATCAAGTGGGGCTGTTGTGGACAGGACATGCTGAATATCTCATAGGGTTGCTGTAAGTCAGTGAGAAGTAAAGATAGAGATGAATGAAGGGGAAGTGAGTGAGCCGTCCCCTCACTCTTCTTGGACAGAAGGAAGAGAGGAGGCAATAGCGAGTGACAGAGGAGATGAAAGGTCTGAGTACAAAGGAAAGAGAAGAGAGGGGGTTAGAGAAGGAGAAAAGGGGGCTGGAGTTTTTCTTGACATTGGAGGGAAAAGGCAGGAAAGGAGGGGAGCCAGTAGTAGTTTGGGAGGAAGAAAAGAGAGTTGAAGGAGGATCGCAGGTCTTCCAAGTACTGTACCCTTAAAGGGAAAAACAAATAAAGAAGGCCACAACGAGGCAGGACGAGGAAGGAGTGACTCAAGAATGGAGACAGAACTGGAGTTGCCGGACCCCCTAGAATGGACAATGGTGGTCTTCCCACGCGGACAAGGTCCCTGGAGGAAGGTGGTTCATCCAGGACCTATACCCACCAGTTACAAGCTGGAAGGAGACTGGGCCCACCACCCGTGTTGCAGGACAATCTGTGCAGGTTGGAGTGTTCTGTTGAGAAAGCTCACCGACCAGGAATGATTTGTACTAGCCTCCCAGTAACAGAAGAAAAGTTAAACCGCGAGTTGATGTTTTCTTGGACAGAATGCCCATTTAACGTTGACACTGTTGACCCTATTGAGGCAGTTGTGGACTCCCCTGATATTAACGTTAATGAAGTGTTTAATGAAAGAAATGAGACTCTGTTGGTTATTCCCACCCAAAAGGAGGAACTGCTCAACTTTTTCACTGAACCCAATCACAGTCAGACATGACTTGATGGCACATAACAAGAAATACCACACACTAAACACAAGTCTACAAATGCTAACCAGATAACCATAGCATCATATACGGTAATCTGCAAAGAAATGAAATATTGTAAGGAAGACAGCAGCAATTTTTACTACAGTATTTTATAACCATCCTATTGCACATTTATTCAAAATGAAGTTCAGAAAAACATATCTCTATATCTTAGGAAAAAATTATTGGACAATGAAATTAACTCATATATAAAGAAAAGTAAGATATAAATTAACCTACTTAAACAGACTTTTAAATTACCCTTGCAACTTTTTGTTTTATACCACCAGAATCATGTATCTACATTCGTTACTCTCTAAATGGCAGTGGTTCTGAGGATGCCAGCAGCAGCCTGGGACAGAAAACGGGACTTTCAAAATGTATGTTTTGAAGCAGGTTTACATTTCCTATTTCCAAGCACAAAGTAGTAATGCCACTAAGGGTTGTTATTTATTTATTGACAAATAATATCATAAATTTCAGAATAGGATTATCTGTTTCTAAGACGTATCAGGTGACCTGTAGGCGAACAGCTTTCAGAGCCAACAACTTACATATATATTCATATTCATATATTCATTTTATATATATATATATATATATGAACAAATCATCCTATTCTAAAACTTAGATTATTTATCAAACTGTGTGTATGTGTATGTGTATGTATATATATATATATGTGTGTGTGTGTATATATATATATGTATAATGAATATATATATGAACAAATCATCCTATTCTAAAAC